AAGAGTCAGCTCATGGAGAGGTAGGAGAGAAACAGTGGCAACACCTCAGGATCAGCGATACTCATTTCATTCCATAACTGGGCCTGGAATCGAAATTCCAGGATGCAGAGGCTCCCCAGGGCTCTCTCTGCCCGTCACTCTGATGCCATCACCAGCTCCCCGTCCATCCTAGGGACCCTGGCCCAACGGCCACCCAGCCAGTCCTGCCTATGTCCTGCCAAGGGGCTTTCAAACTCCACTTTATCCCCTTGCAGTTACTCTCCTGATGATGCTGGGGCCTTCTTGGGCACGTAGTACTAACCGCTCTGGCAAGTTTCCCAGACGGAGAAAGCACACTTCTCACCACCTAACAGTGGGATCTGAAACCAAGAGCTGACAGGAGAAGAGTAAGAAGCAAGCCTGCAAGTGTTTCTAAACAGCGGAGATCTGGTTAAAAATCTAAAGCAAGAGTTTATTCTTTGTTTTAGCTCCTAAAAACCTTTCTTTTTTCTCCATCAAGCTTTTTACAGTAGTTACAAGAGAAGTACTCTAGTTGAAGTTTAAAAAAAAAAGCCCACTCCGTCACTCAGGAGTGCCAAGAAGGATTCTGAGAAAACTGAAGTCCCAAAGTGATACTAAGGAACACAATGAGCTTATACAAAAGCTGTAAAATGAAATTAAGATTTGGTTGGTAGATATGACAGCAGCACTATATGGTTGAAAAAGTAATTATTATGAAAGTACTTAAGAACTGCAGCACCATACGTTTTAAAGACTAAAATGAAGCATGCTGTTCTTCTCATGTGCTCTGAGCATCATTTTTAAGTGCTTTTCTATACATATTCGTCCAGCTATTAAAGTGTTCACTGCTTACAGAGCAAACAGACTATTTATTCAAATTTTCTCCCCGCTCTACTTCAATTCATCTAAATATTGCCCATTTAAATACCTGGTTGCAGCTTTTTGAAGTAATGATTTTTTTCCTCCCCTCTTTTGAGTTAGTCAAATTTAAGGCAGAAACAACAGAAACAGCTGGACTAGATTTATTTCTCATCTAATTTCTAATTTTGAAAATGGAGGAATCTTATTTTTTAACAACCGAGACTGAGTTCCATTAGTATTTTTAACAAAATAGAAAAATAAACTAGATTGCTGTATAGGATGTCTGGTAAAGCAGAAAAATCCTTACTTTTAGAAAACTTAGCAAATATTATATATATTACAGAAAATATACACACACACAGAGAACATGTATAATGTACAGAATGTATATATTATACATTCCCCTTTCAGAATGAAATGCAGAAAAATGCTTTTATAGTATAAGTGTTGTAATCACACCTTTCCTCACTTAGAACGCAGCAAGAAAACCTTTCATCTTCTGGTGCAATCCAGGTGGAAGAGTAACAAAAGTAACTCCACTTAAGGAAATATTAAGAACCCAGGGAGGAAAACGAGAGTAAAAAGCACAGACAAAGCTTCCCATATCAACCTATTATTTGAGAATAAGTATTTTTACAGCAAAAATCTAACCTCACCTTTTAAAGATAAGCAGCAGAGTTGTAATAAGGTGCTGCCTGCTTTTGGCTCTATTAACGGAGCTGGTTAAAGGGGGATGATGTATTACTTAGTTATGAAATTCTTAATGTTTATTCTTAATAAAATGAAGTGCCTAACAATGAGACCTTTAGACTCTGAAATCTTTACAACCAATATCAGAGATAAACAACTTGCAACGAGTACGTTTTTTATTCTTACTTGCCGCAAAGAACTGAAATGCATCACAGTGAAAGCTGAAGCAAAGCAATTGCAGGATAATCTTTCAAGGCAATTGCAGCATAATCTTTCACAAAGCAATCACTGAACAGCTTTTTGGAAGACTCCTATTTCTAAATTAAATAAAAACCACATTGAATCAGGCTTGTTGGAACAGAAAACTTGACCCGAGTCCAGGAACAGAACTAACACACCCTTGTTAGCTGGCAAAACAGGAATTTTTGCAAGGAACTGCAGAGAAAGAGCTTCACTGAGAGAACAAATGCATTTCTTGTCACGCTCGACTTTGTAACGCTCTCATATTTGTGAATAGACTCTCACTGTTTTCTAATAGACTGATTTTATCTGACGCAGTTTTGACAAGTTCTGGCTGGATTTGTGTATGTAAATAGAAGATACATGCACTAACTTGTTCTTCCTTACACTGCAAAGGATCAACTTCTACTTTCCAGCTGTAAACTAGCACTACAATACCTTCAGGCAAGTTTCAACAACCAGTTTTTCCTCCTAAGTAAGTCCATACCGTGTAATTCTGAATCACAATGTTACTCTACAAAAGAGATTAACATCCATTTTGAAGCCCAGTTCCCCCTCCCCAAAGGGGAATCACTGACTTGCAAGCCTGTTAGACTGGGCCTAGTCTATATTCAATACCCTGTCCTCGTAACAGTTGGAGGACAGAGGTGTGTTCAAAAGTAGCCCCATACCATGATTCCCAGGTGCAGCTCAGGTATATTAGAGCAGAAAAAAAAATCCCATGAGATCAACCAACGGAAAAAAGTGCCAGGTATGAACAAACAACTAGGTTGCTCAATAAGCAGAGTTAGCATTTTAAGAAGAACTTAATCTGCTCCTGTAGGCAAGAGATTGCACAAAGGGTGTTCCCAGACACATGAGCCAAGGAAACGGCATCCCCGGAATGAGAGAACGGAAACTCTTCCACTGGGAGCAGCTTTGTGTCGGGTCTCCAAACTAGGGCGAGGCACAGCCACGGCGGAGACAGAGGGAGAGCAGGGAGGAGGCAGAACCAAGAAGGACCAGAACGGCTGCTGGGAGCAAAACAAGGACTCAAAACACTCACTGATACACAGTGGTAACTGCAAGTACAAATACGCCAGACTGTCTCCCCCAAACTATACCATAATGCTTAGCGGATCATTTTGAAGTCGCTGTTTGGAGGAAAAAAAGTAGCTTTAAAGAAAAGGATCTCAAAAAAATTACTTTAAACCATAAAATAATACTATGGAAAATGCATCTCTTTCAACCGTTTCTTCCACAGGCGCTGCTAATAACCCCGCAGATGTTCCACTGCGGGAAGATACTAGGCATATGCAAACTGGAGGATCTTTATTTCTCTGAATTAACATTATCTTGTTTCTGAGACTCGATAGGGATGGAGCACATGACTGCTTTTAAATCAAGGAAAACCATTCCATACATTAATGGAAAACGGTACCCACTAGGGACGTTTATTGCAGCTAGCTGCACCAACAGAAAGAAGACAGACGAACAGCTCAACAGCACTGAAATTCCCAAAGACTCCCTCACTCTTTTGCTTACCTGTAGGGCACCTAAATATTTGTGCAAAGAGACAGCACTTGAGCACGAACGATTAACCTGGGAAAGGATCAAAAGCGCCGCGTGTAAGAAAGCAGCTCACTGCTGCCAGACTACCCCGAAAACACTTCACTGTTCTCCCAGCCAAAGCGCGCAGCAGCCGCCCTGCCGCCC